TTACACATGGAAATACATGTGCCTTATTCTTTCAAATGATAAAAACGAAGCTGCTAATAAAATATGCATGGATAGTTAAAGGTTGGCTTGCAAACTTTTTAATTATGCTTCTTAGTAATAATATAGTCACTGATATAACGTAACAGTAAATCAGCAGAGGGCTTCTTTCTGTTAAAAGTCAAGTCTGTTGAGGATCTCGCTTCTGCAGCCAATTACTCGTGTTTAAATGTGACCTTGTTCCAGTGGCAAGGAGACAGAAGGAAATCAAGATGTAGAGGAAGATAAAGGAAGACGAGTGAGAGGGAACATTTAGACATAAAGATGAGAGTGTGTACATTTTTCACTTTTGATGTGCAGTTGGGTGTTTCAACATGTGTGTGGGTGAAAGTGTGTAGAAGCATGTGCAAGGTGCAAGGAAAAAGTGTGTGTCTTTGCGGGTGTGTCTCTACATGCTTGCCTACATTAACCTATATCTGTGCATCTATTGTCTTGTTATGCAGATGGTAACTGAATGTGTATGTGGCTTTTTTGTGTCTCTTAAAGGTTCAGTGTGTAGAATTCAGTGATATCTAGTGTTGACATTGCATGCTGCAGCTGAACACCCCTCACCTCACCCTCCCAAACATGAAAAATAACCTTTTGTAACCTTCAGTTGTCATAAAAACTCAAAAGGTTTTTAGTTTGTCCAGTCTGAACTAATGTAAAAAACATGGCGGACTCTGTAGAGAGGACCCCCTCAATGTAAATGTAAAGTATTTAAATATAAAGGGCCTTTTCTGGGGTAAAGAAAACTACAATTCATGCAATTTAGATGAAACAAACTAGTGAAAACATTAAATGTCTGCCAATATTTCCCTTTCACTTAAATCTTACACACTAGACCCTTAAATGCCACACAGCCCTAAACACTCCTTTTAACTATGCGATTGCTTAAGTCTTGAGAAATAACGTTTCTGCATGACATTGTGTCGCTCTCAGATCAAACCCTTTCTCAAGAGACACTTTCCAACACACCTTGGATGTGTGAATATATAATACATACACTGCGATAGCTGTCTGCCGGCAATCACACTGACTGGTCACACTGGTGCATCTACAATTTATCACTGGGCCTTTTTTCATCGCAAAAAAACCCCAAACTATTGTACCTTTTCTTGACATTTCACATAAGCATTGGTGATTTCTTAACTGAGGCTGGGTATCGCCACTGAATTCTCAAATTGATTTGATTCAGCTTCACAAGGTCTAGATTTGATCTAGATTGATTAAATATCGATTCAGTTTAACTTCGTACATTATTAAAAAGATTAAGGAAAGCACTGTCATGACAACCAATTTTATTGGATGATATTTTTTTCCATAAATTATTGTGATAAATGATGAAATAAATAAAACAAACAAAACAAACCACACACAACCGAAACAATAAATAAAATGGACTCTCTGGCACTGTTAACAAAAATTGCTCTTAAATAAATATAAACATTTGGCCCATCATGTAACCAGCTCAGTACACAGGACGGGATGGTTATGATTTAGAAGAGCTTTTAGCCTTGTATTGTATTAGGTTAGTATTCCAGTGTTTCATCGAGTGTCTGTGTGTGTCTCTGTCACTCTTGACACGCAAATTGATGATCAAGTTTTTTTCGTTATTTATTGATTAAGTCAAATAATGAATTCAGATCGTTCCGGTCACTTTAACACTGATGTCCTGGCTGTGAGCGTCTCGTGCGCACTAGATGTTGGACTTTTTCCCCCCAATAAATTTAAACAACAAATTCTCATGATAACAAAAACTCTGACACTGTCTGTTTGTCTGTGAGTGAGTGGTCACACTCTGGAGCCCTGGCAAAGGCCAGAAATTACGTTGAGGAGAGATATATTTTAATATTTTGTGTAGAAATATGCAATGGTTGATTTTAAATTGTGTTTTTAAATGATATTTTTTGTATGGTTTGGTTTGACTATCCTACATCTCTCACCCAAACTTCTCCATCTTGGTACATGTTTAGATGACCCTGAGTACATGTATGATTCCCATGAGTTTCTAACAAATGTTTGACTTTCAACAGGTTTGCTAACAGGGCCTTATAATTAAGGCTGGCTCAGACTTGCCTGAACCATCCCGTAGTCCTGCTGCTATAGGTTTAGATTGACGGGGGCCTTCCTCCTCGCCATCTATACATATTAATGCATATTACTAACTTGGCTGTTTCTCTTTCCTGCAGTTTGTACTTTCTCATTTCTCTCCTGCTGTTGCTTTCTGAAGGTTCTCTGGAGCTACAGAATTTGGATCTGTAACTGATCTGCAGGCTACCTACTGCCCCATGGAGCCTGCTCAACACCCATTACTACAAATGTTATTTCTACTCTCATTACCATTATGCATCTTTCTGTGGAGCCTTCACTGTGCTATGTCCTCCTCCTCTGCCTTTCTATGAAACCCAACCAGTCGAAGCAGACAGCTGCCCTTCAATGAGCTGGGATCGGTTCAAAGTTTCTACAATATGAAGGAATGTGGGTCTCTCTAAATAAAACTGAAGGAGAATAAGGCATCCTGCCGAAAAGACTCCATTAAAAGGATCTCACTTCCGACCAGCTCAGAGAACAGGAAGTTGAAATGGGCAGGGAGGTGAGCCAGAAGGAGGAAGTAGCTGATGCATATTTTCCAGTGCTTAACATGAGGATAGGGGGGGCTGTAGTTGGAGTCCAGTGTGATCATAGCTACACTGGTCACTGTGTCCCTTTAGACTGACTACAGCCTAATGAAGTTCAGTCAGAATAGATCAATAAACATGGAAAATAAAGAGCAACAAACAACCCGAGCATAATTCATAGCTCAATTATCCCAACTGAAAAGACATTTTTAAACTCTGTTTGATTTGCCCTGCATGCAAGATGTATCCTATAAATAAGAGCCTATAGATCTTTACAGAAAATACTTTACATTAGATCCAGTATGCAAAAGCCAGTCGTTTCCCACCAGCACTCTCAAAGTAACTTAGTGCAATGTGTAATTTTACATCCATGAAAATGATGCATCTCCGTCAGAGGGCCCGGCTACTGGCTGGCATGCTCTCTGAGAGCATATATGGCCAAGCTCCACTGCACTTCCATATCCTGTGTTCAAACAGGAAACGGCATAATTGTAGACCATGGCAGATCTGTATGCAAACTGACAGAGTCAAATATATCCAAGGCCAGGCTGCTCTGGTGCACCCAGAGGGCACCCGCTTCTTTTCTCTCAGACACTCTTTAAGTCTAAGGCAGTGCTGCTGAAACAGAGCAGCCCCACGCTTAACAACCTACAGACACTAGTCGGACAATAGGAGAAAGACAAGTGAGTGCTATTCTTACTGCTCTCCAGTGCTGACGAATGCCTGCCAGCTACTCAAGAGCTTCAGCGCCATGCTGCTCACATCACTCTTCTTAAGTTAGTCAAGTGGTACTCAGCAGGGCTGCCACATTCTATGCACATTCAAATTCATTTGAACGAACTGCGCGTCATTCAATCTTTGTTTGAACTTGAAGCCGTTGCACAGTAAAGGAGGCGACTGAAGAGTTCTTCAATTCAATTTTCCATTGCAGACTGTGGAGCAATGACACTTCACTGACTTCACTGATATTCTCACAGAGAAGAATAGAGTTGCAATGCCCACACTGAAATGAATGCACTGTGATAGCGTACGTGTTTGCTGAGAAAGAGGGTGTGGTGCTACTCTACTGGGTGTTATCCTACTGTATGCATCAACATAACTCCTGTTGAATATCTATGTTAGAAACCCAGGACTGTGTTCAGTGATAATGGTACTGCGTCAAAAAATAAATAAACAAAAGTCTGCGTATGTTTGGGTGTGCTGCTGGATTTACAATGCTGAAAGATGAAATCTGAACCAGTAAATCAGTTTTGAAGGATTATCAGTTTATATCCCCTTTGAGACGCTATTTTATAACTCTGGAAAGTTATCACAGCAATGATATTTTAAAATCATGCTCCTCAGTGAGGGAATACTAGCTGATGTGTGTGCTTGCATTGACTGTATTCGATAGAATGCTCTGCTGGCTTATTTTGCCCCAGCGCTGTGGGAAATGTGGAGTCAGAATCAACTCTTTTGTCAGACTATACTTTTTATTTCATCTCTAGCTCTGTGCAGTGGTACTCCTACTGCATGAATGCAATGGCCTCAATTAGATGAACCGGGAGCTTGTATTTGTGATACAAAGCTATTACAAGTCTGAACACAGCCTTATTATTTGTATTCGAACCAAGATCAAGGACTTGCTCAGCACTTGACACCAGCACTTGATTCTTTTGAATAAAAAGTAACTTCACAGCTCTTCATGTGTTAAGGTCACACATCAAAGTCTACAGCTACCAGATGTTCCAGGCACAAGTGAAAGTCACTTCCTTC